CATTAGAATCAGTTACACATCAACTCAACATCTGGTGCAGCTGTTCCTCCTGAGTCTCGTCTGTGTGCGTGCATTAACATGTGGATTAGGTTAGAGTGGCTGGCCTTGCAGTAAGTGTGAGCTTAATAGTTAACCTGTCAGAGCAGCCTTTGCACCACCCCTTCTGCCTTGGAGGAAAGAAATCTCCCACCATCTCCTCCTTCATTTTCTATCTCTCAGATCTATAGTTTTGACCTCTCACTCTCTCATTTAAAACCCCCTCCATCTTCCTCCACATCCCTCTCTCTTCACCTCAAGCTCCTCTTCCTTCTTCCAGCCACAATGACGCCTCATATATTAGATCAGCTTTTATGGATTCTTCTCTCTTTGGCCTCTCCCTGCTTGTAAAAACAGGAACGATATATCCTCTGCTCTCTTCCATCGGTCTTCTGTCATACACATTATTTTCTTCCGTCCTTTCTTTCCCCTCCTGTGTTCTAATTTTGTTATTTGTAGTCCTGCTCAGCTCGAAGTTGTGCCAAAGCAATTACGGTTGAACATGATGAGAATGTGCCATTAATTTTGTGTGTTAATTGAATCTCCTCCTGCCTCTCCATGAATAATGAATGATTAAGGCCCCAATTTTTCCTGACTTTTCAGAAGTTTGCACAGGGGTCGAGCTAATTCAGATGTGTGGATGGTTAAAGGATTGTCTAACATCTTGCATGTATTCAGCTTTCTTCTGTCTTTCTTCTTTTGTCTGCACTCTCACACACTCCTCCTGTCTCTTTCTACTAGGTGCACAGTAACAACCGCCACACCCAGGGCGTGCGAGTCTTCAGCAAGGTAGAGTGTCTTTTCAAGCCTGGCATTCTCCAGCCCTGGTCCTCTCCTCTCACTCTGCCCGTGCCCCTTGAGGATCTGAAGGACCCCTCCTCACGACCCATCTCCCTCCCACTGGGTGCCCGGCCGGCTCAGATCCTCTGCTGCAAATTCTACTTCGCTGACCGCTGGCTGCTAATCAGCGAGATATCCTTTCTCTCTGGTAGGAAACAGGATTGAAGTGATCAGTTTTTTCACATGTGGGATGTGTTTCTGTGGCTCTGACAGGCAGTTTTTTTTTTGCACTTCATACATATCCTAGCAACTATGTCTGGCACTATCCTGGAGGTCCAGTAGAGATCTGGCTATGCCCAAACAATACTTAAATATAGAGAGCAGCAACGGGGGAAGAGATACCTGAAAAAGATTGTTGTACTGTGGGTGAAAGTCCAATCAGCATTCTTTAAATGCTTAAAGTAAAAATCAAGTGAAGTGAAACTCAAAAATCTGAAGTGCTAGATTTGTTTCCAGACTTTCTGCGACAGAATCACATTCAAGTTTTTGTCATTGCTGTGTGCTTATAATTGATTTAAGGTATCAACATTTTTTACAGTTTACAGATTTAACAGAAAAGCACAGTTTGTGGAAAAACATCCGACCCCAATTAATGTTGTATCCATTATTCTTTATACCTCCCTAATTCATTTTAAACTTTGTCAGAATCATAAAGCGTTTACTGGAAAAATGTGTGTTTCCTCTCCATCTGTTGTCTTCACTATGTTTCTGTTAACAGGCTGAAAGAGACCTTTGCAGCAAATAAAAAAAGGGGGTTACGATATCTGCTGTGAAGATGGGATTTATGCCTATCTGATTGGATGTCAGATAGAGGACTCCTCTGCTGCTCTCCAGCTGAGATTGCTGTGACTAATTAAACTGTCCTTTCTACTCAACAGCACTGTCAGTTGTAGCGTGATGAGAGTCAGCAAAGTGCTCAGTAATCGCACCATACTCAGGTAGCTAAAATGACTTGACCCAGCAGTGGTCTGGCCTGTGTGGTTGCTGGACTTGTGCCAGACTGTAACACCAGTACTGACAATGGCAGAAAGGGCTGCAAACTGGAGTCTAAACTTCCAAATCTTGCAGCCTAATGTTCTTTTATGGGACAGAGCTGACTCAAATTTCGTCCTCTCGTACCAGAAAGTGATCAGTCTTTAGCAAACAACTGCATCGACTCAACAGCGACGGTTAGTTGCCCAGTTAACTAGGGTTGCTCATGTAAAAAGGTTTCAATACACAGTCATTCAGATTAGTTAGTAAGCAATAGCTCAGTACCCTGTCAAAAACAACATAATTAACATAATCTCCTGAGATGAATACTGTTTGTCTGGAAAACAAAACCGGCTGTGACCACAACCACTGTTACCCAATTCCCAACAGCTGAGAAAAACCAGACGATGTGTTGTGCCATACGAAAAAACCCCCTAAACATATAAAACATGATTCATTTCCATTGAATTGTCTCCCGCTCTCTTTTGCTCCTTATTCAGAACCATTTGAGGAGGATGTCACAGAGACTGATTCATTTCCTCCTAATCTTCCCAAGAATCCTACCAACAGTTCTTCTCCTCCCTCTGTTAACCACACCTCCTCATCTCCCACATCGAGCCACAGCACCTCCAACACCACCGCCGACCCTTCTGGTGAGTCCCGCTGTTGCCCCTCTGTCTTTATCCTCCTGCTCTTCACCTCTCCACCATCCATTCTTTCTCCGTTGTCTCCTTTCACCATGCTGCTTCTCCCACCATCCTCCTCACCGCTCTCTAATTCCCCATATCTCTCCCTCATCACCTCTTGTCTCTGCACCCGTCTCTTTCTCTCCAGTTGTGATGAGTGCGAGCATGTCAGCAGTGTGTCTAAGCCATGTGTTTCAAGCAGAGCCAAAAGTAGGCAGTGCCAGAGGAGGCCCATGTCTGACTAGCCTCCGACTTTATCATGAGAGCTGAAATCCTTTGGCTTTGAGCCACAATTTGCTGAACCCAAGTCAACGCCAGATGCTTATCTTACCAATTTCATTTTACTTAAAGGGCAGGAAAAATTTGGTTAAAAACTAAAGGTCAAGTGTTTCGACTTGATATTTTTAAGAATGTTTATCATCTCCATCTGGCTTTTGAAAAGTTGGTGTGAACTTAGATGGATGAAAAGCAAAATCCTGTCCATGATTTGCTCTCTCCTCATCACCCTCTCCTGAGTCTTCACCACCTTTCTTCTCACACATTCCTCCTTTGTCCATCCCTCGCTCCTCCAGAACCCCCCACCTCCACCACCTCCTTCATGATGGACACCACTGGTAACTGGACGCTGTCAGGTGAGAGAGCAAAAAATAAAAATAAATGAATAGACAGAGAGAGATAAGTCAAGGGACGGGAGCTTGCTCCATCCGCTCTGGCCCTCCTCCAGCATCTTAAAACTGTCCCACTGCTCAGTAAAGAGTATGAAGTATAATGGAGGAGGGATTGCAGGGGCAGGCTTTGGCACTGGGTTCTGTCCCCTGGGTTTGAAGATATACAGCTGTAGGAAAAACACTAACAGAGATATAGTACATTATATTTATGTACAATAACAACTTGGCTTCCTGCGGTCGCACAAACTGCATGTTTTTTTGGGGAACTGGCTCTGTTCTACACAGTTAAACAATAACAGGCCTTTTAAAAAGCTGGAAATGGTTTTCTGTGGCGTGTATGCTGCTTTGTCCTTGTTACTGGCTGTGGTTGAACGGCTTTGTTTGGGTTTATTTATTACTCACATGGTGTTGAACTGACAGAGAGAGACAGAGAAAGGGGTTGTTTTCTGTTGTGACAATGCGTTGTGTAAATCTTTGGCTAGTAAACGTGTGTGAGTGTGTGCTTGCAGGTGTATATTTGTGTATACACATTAAAGCATTGTATGGTGTGTGTCTGGTTTTTTTTTGTCTTTTTAACTGAGCTATTTTTTCAAACCATCACTTATTCTGTTAAAGTGCTTTGTTTATGAGCAAACTTTACACTTTACACTACACTCATTCAAATAACACGTCACATTTGACCTTCAAGGGAGAGAAAATAACTGTGTGATTCAGATTAATAGTTGACTACAAAGCTGTTGAGAAGCAAAACAGTGTTCACATTCTTTTCTCAAAGCAGCGGGCTCTGAGAAGCCCTGTGGTATGAGTGGGCATGCTGGATGCATACTCAAACAGACAATTCCCATCAGATGTTTAGTAATCCTGATGAAACTATGTTGGTGTGTGTGTGACCCCAGCAAGTGCGTGACTGCGCTGAAAGAGCTAATGCTCTGACTGAACAGTGCATTAACTCATGCCTGAGTGTAGCCATACACACACAGAGAAAAAGTGTTGCATAGTAATCTATACGCATTACATCACACCCACATATAACAGCAGTTCTCACACATTCAAGCATATACACATGCAAACGCCTAACATTTCCTTCTGAATTTGCCTCTTCTGAATCCAGAATTTGAACAGAACACTCCAAGGGCGGGGCTTCCTGTAGCGAAGGACGACAGCAGTAATACTGCTATTCTGATTGGCTGCCTGGTGGGCATCATCCTTCTGCTGCTGGCGGTGATAGCTGTCATTCTGTGGAGGCAGTACTGGAAAAAGATACTGGGCAAGGTGAGTCAAGATTGAGGTCACATGCAATGTTTTAGTTACATTTTTAACCAGGCATCCCAATGTGCAGTTGGCAATTTGGTTGTAACTGGACTTCACCTACAGGTTTCTCATGTCCATGTTAAAAGTCAGCATTAAAAGTCCAGTGTATAACATTACATTATAACAGGCTCTCTTGGCAGAAATGGGTAGGTAGGTTATAGGTAGGTTTTCATTAGTGTATAATCACCTGAATATAGAAATCTTTATATTTTTGTTATCTTAGAATGAGACATTTTTATCTACAGATGCCGCAGGTCGCCTTCCATGGTGTCCGCGATGTTGAACTGTTAAGTTTCTACAGTAGCCTAGGAGGGACAAACCAAACACCGGCTCTAGATAGGGGCATTTGCAATTTACATTAAAATTTTTGGCAGCCACCATAGTTTATCCTTCGTACGTGGAAGGGGAGGGTGAAGCGAGGGAGTTGTGATCTGCAATTACACTGCTAGATGCCACTAAACGCTGGAAGTGTCAGTTTACCGACACAGTCTTGGTTTTGTTAGCCAAACTTTTAGAACATCAATCTCTGAGATTTCTGTTACCACCCCAGTACAATGGAGGTAAATTACATTTTGGTCATGTTGCTTAAAGCTTTGAAAAACATCCACTTACTTTTCCACAGATCTTGCTGTTAACTGTTTTCAGGACTCTCTACACAATAAATAACCCTGTGAGAAAGTGAGAAAATGTTTCTTCTGTGATTAGGCTGAACTGTCCCTTTAACCAAGTTTAAATGATTGATAGCAGGCTGACATAACAACTGCCAGTCTTTTGGCAGCGTACCACTGTATCTCCATCTGGATGTGTTGTGGGAATCCTTTTACATTTACTTCTAATTGTTCAAAGATTAGAGGCTGTTTCCACAGTTGGTTCACCATCTGCTTTAGGGATTCAGATGATGCATTTACACTCAGCTGCCAGTTTATTAAGTGCAGCAAGGTAAAGTGAGTGAGTGTATATTACCTGCATTAATTTGAATCCTCTGCCCTCTCAGGGCCAGGGCAGTCTGTCCAGTGATGAGCTGCGGGTCCACCTGTCGGTCCCCTCGGACAACGTGGTCATCAACAACACACACAGCTACTCGAGCCGCTATCAGCGCATCCACACCTTCCCCGACGACCGCGACCATGACAGAGAGGGAGAAGGGGAGTACCAAGAGCCCAGTGCCCTGCTGCGCCCACGGGATCAAAGAGACAGCACAGGTTAGTTCTAAACACATAGATATAGACAGTTATATATTGTGTTTATAGATGTTTCTGTTGTAGCTGAGTGGTTTAGTCAAAAAAAAAAAAAACCCTGCACATTTAGCTTACTAGCGTGACATAGAACATGAGTGGTGTGACATACAACATGCTGACATGCAGTAAAAACATACCACATGCTAAATAGATGGTGACAGAGATTGATCCATAGTCAACCACGCACAATTGGCATCGAGTCAGTGGAAAATGTAAAGCAATCCAAACTTTCCATATGCACAGAATTTATATACATTACTTACATTTCTGCAAACATGTATGTGGTTTGGACAGATTGCTTCGGTTTGCGTGCCTGTCTTTTTGCAACCTCCGTTTGTTGAGCGTACCAATAAGCTCAGTCTCATTTGCAAAGGGAAAACAGCAGGAGAAAAAAAAAGTGGTATGCATATCACGAAAACAGTGGTATTACAATGTATTTCACCATACCAAACAAAAGTAAATCAAACCAAACACCCTGCGAGGAAGAGCGCCTCCAAGAAGATGCTCAGCGCAGAAGGGGCACAAAAGAGCTATTGTTCTGAGCAAAGGGAAGAAAAAGAAAAGAGGGAGGAGAGAAAGAGGAGTAAAGAGAGAGAAGGCATTCCTTCACTTGCATTGCACCACAGGAGGTCTGCATGCCGTTTTTTACTAGGCGCCTGTGTGAGTTTGAAATAACATGAGTAACAGAAACATTATTTCATCCACTGGTTTTTGTTATGTTTGGTTGTGGCCAGAGTTGTATTAACTTTGCTTGTTCTTGCTTTGCTCGTCTGTTCTGTGCTCCATGTGTCAGTGCAACCCCTGCTCCTTCCCTTATATCATAATGGAAATGCTAACTGTGTCATGCTAATGGTTGTTATTATGTTTCGTTATGTGCGTGTGTGTGTGTGTGTGTGTGTGTGTGTGTATTTTGTGTCATGTGCCACTTTGTACCATCTGTGTGATCCATATCATGGTTCCTGCGTGTACCCCGCCTCGTCCTGTGCATTTGTGTGCGTGTGTTCATTTGTGTGCCCTCCCAGCCTTGCTGTTAAACAACCCAGCCTATCACCTGCTCCTGTCAGATCACAGAAAAGGCTCGAGACCCCTAGTCGTCCCCGGCACCACTCAGGCTCAGGAAAAGAGCCTCAATGTGCCCCAGGGTAAGAGACCTCAGACTGGGCCAACACAGTCAGGAGGGCCCCACCCTACCTCACTACCCACCTACCAGTCTGTCCAGGGTTGGGGCATTAGAAGTGCTCTCACATCAGAGATGGGATTAGTCTATTTTGCATGTGTCTGACCTTCATCATCCCTCCTGTTACTCACATAATTAGTCACTCTCATTCACTCACCACTCATCATAACTCATGCTTTGTTTGAAGGGATGGTTTGGTATTTGGGGAATTGTACAAATTGTATGAATTTTCAAACTTACCCAGAGACTGACAAACTCATAAAAACCTTTGTTTATCTTGCGGTGTGGCTCTGTTGATGGTAGTGTTTGTTGGCCCATAACTTTTGTCTAGACTGAGGTATCTCAACAGCTGTTAGATGGGTTGACATAACATAACATTTTGTAGACATTCATGGTTCACAGAGAACCTTCCTCAAACACCACCATGAGGTTGACCTTTTGTGGTTTTGAGTGAAATGTCTTAACAACTGTTGGATGGATTACCATGAAATTGAATACACACATTCATGTCCCCTTCAGGAGAAATTGTAATCACTTTGGTCATCCACTGACCTTTCCTCTGGCCCTACCATCAGATCAAAAACGTGATTTGTCGAATACCCAAAGAAACTAATGACATTCCCAACTTCCTGTTGTCGTTGTTGTCGTGCTAATAATGCTAATGTGAAAATCAGGCAAGTACTGTACATGTTGAGGGTTCAGTTCTTTGTTGGATACTTATACTTATACGTATAGGTCCGTTATTTATTTTGTTAATGAAATATGGTCAGGCAGTAATATTGAATCTACATTTATGCCGACATTGAAACCAAACTGAAAGTTTTATGTTAAATAAAAGTCAGATTTTTAATCAGGACTGTTGATCAATACTGATTCATTGATTATCTAAACAGCTTAGGGCTGTTTCGTGCCCCTATGTTGCCCTAATTAACTACAAAAAATCATACAATTTTATGGCATTTTCCTTATTCATATAACATTCGGACAAAATTATGCTGTTCTCAAAATGTCAAAGTTCAAGAAAACTTTTTCTTCCATTAACAAACTTCCCCAAAAGTAGGCTCACTTTAGATTTACATATTGTTTTCTAACAAAATGATTAAGTGTGCTGAGGAATATTTCTGAAATTATACATATATAATATAATAGACACAGCAAACTCAAGGGGAAAATCTAACATTGATGGATATGAAAACTTTCCCATCCTAATTATATTTTAGCTCATTTTCGTATATGTATAACTAGCTGTGGATTGAAAATATTCCTGTCATCTGCATTATGATTTTAACAATGGTTTACCAACTTAGTATTCAAAAGCCACTCTTCATATTTTGACTTATGTGGGCTGTCAGAACCTCATTGGAAGCTGATTGTGTTGAATGTTAGATTGTTAGATCTTTTTGATGAATTGGAAGTTCAAGAGCTCCTTAAATTTTATCAAAAAAAAGTAGGCCAATGCAAAGTCCCAGAAAGATTGATTAAAAAAAGTCCTCTGATCCATCACAAAAAGTTTAGTTATGTATTTTCCTGATTTTGATACTTGCTACACAATCTAATAGATGCTCAGAAATTTAGCAGGGAAAATAGTAATAAGCACTTTAAGGCAGATGGCCAGCTATGTGTTGTGGCCAAGGTCTTTAAGTTGTTCCCAACCTTTAATCCAAAGCTCCAGCAGACAATGATGAATTACCTTCTACTAGTTTAGAACAAGAAAATCTGAAGAAATTAAATCTTTGCTAAAATTTCACTTTTACGAATCGACTTTTTTACCATCTTATCAAGTTTTGTTCTTTATTGTGTTCAGACCTTATTTTTACTCTTCTCTGTAACTCTAAGGCTTTTGTAAATCAATTGTTTTCTGTTTTAAGGTTCTAGTTTCTCTACAGAACTTCATGAAGTTTTGTTTTTGAAAAATTTTGTACAAAAAACTTTTTTTTTGTTATTATCAAATTTAATTCCCCTAAATCTAAACTATCCCTTCATCCCCTTCAAGTTGTCTCAATACTTGTGATATCATCTTATTCGTTCACTCTCAGACTGTCTCAAAGCAAAGCAGTTAATCACACAGTTCTTCTTTTAAAAGTAATCTCTCCATTTCATCCACCCTGTCTGTCTCTTCCCTTCAGCCTGTGGTTTGGACATGGACATGGAGAAGGGTTTCCCCCCAACTCAGGAGGAGCCTCCTCCTTACCCTGGCTCCCCTCCTTACCCCTCCCTGTCTCCCCCCGTGTCTCCCCCGCTGCCTCCCAGCGTTCCTCATTACGCCGAGGCCGACATTGTGAGCCTGCAGGGTGTCAGCGGTAACAACACCTACGCCGTGCCCGCCTTGGCCTCCTCGAGCCCTGGGGCCGACGCCGCCCCGCTGCCGGAGCTGCCGCGCCAGTGTCTCATCTTTAAGGAGAAACTGGGAGAGGGACAGTTTGGAGAGGTGAGGAATGACCTGCAAAAATGTGTTTGTGTTTGGGTGGGTGGAAGGGTTATTGTGCTTTAACAATGTCTGTATTTTTTGGTGAAAGGTGCACCTGTGTGAAATCGAGAGCCCTCAGGACCTTCCCAACTTGGAGTTCCCCTTCAATGTGAGAAAAGGTCGCCCTCTTCTGGTAGCAGTGAAGATACTGCGCCCGGATGCCTCCAAGAATGCCAGGTCTGTAACATTATGCTCAGCTGAGCATGGCTTCAGTGTGGTTCACAGTTTTTCTTTCTGCTTTCTGCTTTTACAGCTTATCTTCTCCTGTTTCAAATGCATGCACTGAACTGCAGCAATCTTTCTAAAATCTAAATCTAAATCTAAACATTTTTTTAAGAATGTACCATTCAACATGTTTTTGTTTTAGATACCCGAAATCTTACTTTTCAGGTAATATTTGTCCTCTAGAGGCCAGAAAGTGGACAAAACACCCTCAAAGCACCCAACCTTTACATACTATATAATAATATGATGAATTCCTTATAGCTAGTGTGTTGGCAACCAACTACTACTACATTACTTACTAACCCAGAAGCTAGGAAAATACAGGTCCAATATTTTCTCACATTTTAGCTCAGATTCGGTCCCCAAACTCTTAAAGATGAAAAAAATATCTGGACCTCTGTGGTTTTCTGGATGTTTGCCTCTCTTCACCAGCTGCTTCTTTACTTTTTTCCACCCTTTTTTCGCGGGGCTGTGTGAGTTCATGTGCTTTGAGTGGCTGTCCACGGGTTTATATGGGAGGTTAGTGAAACACAGGGCCAACACAAACATATTGACCAGCAAAACAAATCAATAAGGTGGAAAGCTACAGAACTGCAGACTTTGGTGTTGATTCATAGGGGAATTGTCGACCTTTTAACTTCAGTAGTTGTTTCATGTTGAAGCTTTAATATGTATGAACCTAAAATCAGCACATTTCACTTTTTATTCCCCCTTTACGTTATCTCCTCTGAGTTTACCAGTTTTCTCTTCTATACTCTGATTCATTTCAATCCCTCATATCCTCCTTGTAGGAACGACTTCCTGAAAGAGGTGAAGATCCTGTCTCGCCTAAAGGACCCGAATATCATCCGTCTGCTGGGAGTGTGTGTGAGCAGTGATCCCCTCTGTATGGTCACTGAGTACATGGAATGTGGAGACTTGAACCAGTACCTGTCCCACCGAGTGCTTTTGGACAAGACAGGGCCTTCGCACAATACCCCGACCATCAGGTAAACCAGAAAATGTGCATGCACGCTTGCATGACATGTACACAGATATAAATGAACACACAGTCATAGTCTATAGGTATTTATTATTCCATCTATCTTTCAACTTTTTCCCCAAGTTACCCGGCCCTCATCTCCATGGCTAGCCAGATCGCGTCAGGAATGAAGTTCCTTTCCTCCCTCAACTTTGTGCACCGGGATCTAGCCACGCGCAACTGTCTGGTCGGGGGTGAGAAGGGTGAGAGCGGAGAGGATCGGGGTGGTGAGCGTCACATCAAGATAGCGGACTTTGGCATGAGTAGGAACCTGTATGCTGGAGACTACTATAGGATCCAGGGCAGAGCTGTGCTGCCAATACGCTGGATGGCCTGGGAGTGTATCTTAATGGTGAGAGGACAAGAATTGTTTGTTTGTGCATCGGATGGTGTGCGATAGTTGCAGTACTGTATGTTACGCTGTTGATCAGAAGCAACAATGTTTTATATTGATAACAATAATGATTTTCCTGATCAGAAATACAAACTACTTTAAAATGGGATCTGTTACATAATCGTTGACTCGTCTGAGTTTTATCCCCATTTATCTCCTCACACAGTTATCTGATTTGTACATGCAACAACAGGAACTTGTTTACTGTAAACTATGGCAGTCGCATAGCAGGAAATAAAACTTCCTCAAATCCTGGGGAAATGTTTTTAACTCCCTCAGTTTCTTTTTAAAACATCTCGATCGAACTTAATTTGTGTTGCACCTCTTGTACAGGTTAGTGTAGGTCATCATTTTTCAGATAACTGACAAGCCAATGACAAGACAACTAAATACAGTTAGAGATTAATTCACACAAAGAACTAAATCTGAAAATATGTAAAATCCAAAATCATTAATAACGATGTACTCATATGTAATAAATCTTTACCAAGAATATTCCATCCTATGATAATGACTCTGATTATCATTCTGATACTGGTGGAGATTATGATGTTGAAGGCGACATTGTTTATGTGTGTGGCTGTGTGTTCCCAGGGCAAGTTCACCACGGCCAGTGATGTGTGGGCGTTCGGGGTCACTCTGTGGGAGATGTTGAGCGTTTGTCAGGAGCAGCCGTACTCCAACCTCACAGATGAACAAGTCATCGACAACGCTGGGGAGTTCTTCAGAGACCAGGGCAGACAGGTACGATACACAGAAACACACACACACACACACACACCACACACACACACACACACACACACACACCACACACACACACACACACACACTGGTATAGGGCTATAAAACTAAACTTATTTTCCTCCTTGTCAAAATTTAACAAACCTCAAATTGAGTATGGACATAAAACAGTGACTTTATATGAATGTTCTCCTCTGTATGTAGCTCATCTGTTGAATATCTGAACTGGTCTGTCAGTATCAGTTCTCAGTTAATCAGTCAGATAATATTAC